AGGTTTTGACATGTTTATTAATAAAAATGAATGAGAAAAGAAGGAAACAGTCAGCCAGGCAAGATGCCCCTGTAACTCTGCTGTCATCATTAGGTGATTATGGTATACCAAATATTTATGCTTCTATATGATTCAGATCACAGAAAATAAATATCACTTTTATGTGTTTTATTTTCTTTGGAGAAGGAAGTGGAGGAGAGTGTGAGCCATAGTGGAAGAATAAAATCTATTTCTCTTCTGACAAAAGCTGCTTTTTTTGTCAGAGAAGGATCCTAGCATTAACGTCAGTTGCTGATAAGCTCTGGAGCCTGACTGGCTTCAAAAAGAAGTGATGGCCTGCCAGTCCCCAGTCTGTACCTGTCTGGTGACCCATGGCCAGAAGCCAAATCATATTTCTTACTCCTGCTGGGCATATGATAATCAGTGTTCCTAGCAGGGTCTGAATGCAGGCTGCTGGTGCACCCTTGCAAAGATTTCTGGTGAGTAGAATTTTGACCCTTTGCACCGTAACAAATCCTGCCAGCTGCAGCCTAACTTCTGAGCATAGAGCTACTCTGAGGAATCTGGGAAGGTTAACATGAATATGTATTAGTGTATGACCAATATTATTTGTCTGCTTAAAAAAAAAAAAACACCCATCATATTTTCTGTTATGATCAGATTCAGAGGATTCTGTTCTTAGGCAGCTGAAAAGGGAAGTGACATGATTATAGGAGCTCCTGAGGAGACAGCCAGTGTATGATTCCTCCTGTTTACTACTTGCTGTGCCCTACAGAATATAGAAGAGATAGAAAACATGCAAGATACAGGCTCTGATAATTCTGTGCTCCTAAGAGATAGTGAAGGATGAGGAACCTGCCTGTCCAACAATCCTGAGGTAGGAAAAGATTGTTTGCAAGGGAGAAATAATCATGTTGCTTTCTGTAGGCTTTCCTTACAACTACCAAGGTCAAAACATTTTTTGCCCCTGCCCGTGGCAGGCTGGGTGGGCTAGATGATCTTTAAAGGTCCCTTCCAACCCAAGCTATACTATGGTTCTGTGATTCTGTGATTTTCCTAAAGACACTGATATGAAGGTGCTAAAGCCTGAGCAGTGACAAATGGCAAAAGGTTTTATGTATGTCCTGGTGAAATTAAGACTATATTTAAAAATATGTGTGTGTATCATTCCTTATAGAACTTCATAAGCTAGGAAAGTATCTGTCATTTTTGTGAAAGAATTTTCATGTGTGTTTCTTGCCACAAAACAAGACAAACATTCCAGACAAACATTACAGATGGCCTACCTACATAAACTCCAAACCAAAATGCTGTTTTCCAGATGTTAAGTTTCTCTTTTTTGAATGGATCTGTCATAGAATTTATTCAAAAGAGTAACCACCTAAATGTCTGTAGATTAATGTAGAAGACTGGATTAGAAATTTAGGAACCAAAGGCCTATGTGGTCTTTGCAATTGAGAGACTTGTGGCTGTCATCTTTTTGAAAGACCAAACCATAGCCTTGACTCCTGTAATGAGGACCAGGGACACTCTGAGATGTTTAAGAGAGGAGTCAAGCTTGCTGTTCCAGTAAAGAGATTTTTAAATTTTTTTTTTTTTTTTTTTTTTTTTTTTTTTTTTTTTTTTTTTTTTAGTTTTCCATGATATCTTTCAAAAAGAAAAGTCCGTAGAGGTTCTTCTGTATTAAATGATGAACAGTATAAGATGGATGAACTCTGAAATTCCACTTTCCTCAATACTATGGAGGATAAAAAAGAATTAACACAGGGCATACAGGTTAGCTCTTCTGGTACATAGTGTGGAAAGTAGCAGTAGCAAAGTTATGTCTTAGTTATGTCTTAGTTTGTGAGACAATAATACAGAAAAAGTAGGATGCTATTTTTCTGGTGAAATGTAACACACACTGTATACATTTTTAAAAGAAAAAATTATTTCTTTCAGAAAAAAACCCTCTTAGCTATTAATTTGGTAAAGTGAATTGAGGTAATGCTGAAAGCATTAACAGAACACTGAATTCTAAATGCCACCTCCAGTGGCATTGTAGTCTTATAGTCATATAGCGTTATAGTCTTCTCAGTCTTGAGCTGAGATTCTTATATATCATTTCTGTAGAGATTTATAAATGTGCTACTATTTCCTGTTCAGCACTATTAAAGATGGTGTTAATAGCTATTCCTGGTTCTTTGTGTCAAAAGACCTTGCTTTCAGTATTTAATAATTTTCCTATTGCTACTCAGTATGGCTGTCAGTTTTAGTGTCAGACATATTTATTTGACAAAAAATTGAATAAACTGTCTAAACAATTTTTGCTGCTTCTATGAATGAGATTAAGGGTCAAATGCATTGTTTTGCCCCATTGTTATTAAAAAATGTGCTGACATCTTTACGCTTAAGAGCAAGGTCTTGAAATGTGGTAGAAGTGTGGTAGATTTTCCCAATGTTCCAAATTATAAGACTCTCAAAAATTTCTTTGTGTGTTAGACTGGTGAGGCTTGTTACTGCTCAGCAACTTGAGCTTGCAGAGCTTCTCTGCACTGAACACACTCCATTGTCTGACTCCTGAGCTTAGTCTGTGCTGTACTCTGTAGTGCTGCCACTTTGTTTGACATGAAGAAATAAAAAGCAGAGCCTGACTTGAATTTGAGGAAATATGAATGGAGAGGAGGAGGGCAAAAGCTCAAGTGGCTGCAGATAGGGAGGGTTCTTCATAGGATCCCTCCTTCTTTCAGTCTATAAGATGTATAGTGCTATGGGGACAGATCAAGATTGTGTATCAACCACAGTCCTCATCAGTGATCAGGATCCATGCCACATGTGTTGCAGACGTGGGGAAGTTTGGGAAGTATGTGTTGCTTCAGACAATGAATTTGTAATTAGAGTATCAGAAGGTATGTACATAAGACGTTGCATAGGAGACCTTTATTCCTGATATTGTTCCCTAGCTTTGTGGAGATTAGCCTGCAAAAGCTTGGTCACTGTAATGTCTAATGTAAGTATTCCTATGTGTACTTTGTGTGTTAGAGAGTTCTACATCGTGGAACAATAGGAAAAAAAGCCCAGAGGAGGAGTAATTGACTGCCTGCCTCTAGGAAATGTCAGCTCGAACCTATAGCAACCTTGGTGGATATTTGTTTCAGCTATTATAAAAAATAAATAATGAATAATAAAAAATAGCTGAAACAAATACATTATAAAAAAGTCCAAGAGATAGAGAGTCTCTAATTTTCTTTTAAGCATTTTATTTATATTATTATTTATTCTTAGTATTTAAAAGCTTGTTCCGTTCTCTGAAGTACATGTTTCCTGCTGCAGCTGCTTCAGGTCCTGTCCACAGGGTACAGAACAGGTTATTTCTTTCCTCTTGCAATGACTTACATATTCGTGCACTTTTATCATGTTTGCTCCCATGTTATGCAAATCAAATAATTATACTTATGTTATTTATCCACTTAAGTTATGTTTTTTAAAAGTTTTTTCTTCACTTTTGATCTCTCCAGTTGGTCTAGGTCCTTCTTGAAGTGCAATGCTCAATATTGGAATCCATATTTCAGCAGAGGCCTACTAATGACTTGCAAAAAAAGGAATATTTCACAATTTATATCACTTTGCCTGGAGATATTTGTGGTGCAATTCCAGCAAAATCACCAAAAAAAAAATTTTTTCAGCAAAACCACCAAAAAATTTTTGGGTGACCTCTATCCTTTTTTAAATGTAGAACTGTATTCATTGAAATGATGCATGATCTGACAGAGACTTTTTGCTTCATCTGAATTCTCTTTTTTTGTGATTAACAAGTAAAATGAACATTTTCCTAATACTAAAATTAAGAATAGGCTAACAAAACAAAATAAAGTTTATAATGCATAGATCAAGAACTAAACAAAAGAAAACCCTAGAGAATTGTTAATATCATTAATGTGTCTTTTTCCTGCAGAAAACCTAAACCTTTCAACAAAAATATGGTTTCTTTGGACTAAGTTGTTTTTCCAATAAACAATAAACATTGAACTTAAATAGCATTACACATGCACAAAATTAATCTTCACATTCTGACCAGTGTAGACCAATTGGGATTTTCTAGAGTTAATTTTCTAGAACATTCATATATGTATTTGCCTTTTAATGTTAGCCATGTCCCCCTGATTTAGTACAGCCATTACAGGCTCAGTGTTTGTCAAACTAGTGCAAAAGGCATCCTTACTCCTTCCCTTTGGAGTCAGCCTGAAAGAGCACATCCGCAAGTGCAGAGCAAAGGGGCTTATCTTCTCCTTCAATACAGCTTTCAGGCTTTCAGATTAGAGAAGGGCAAAATCCAAGTGATAAAATATCCACACATAAGTTTGTCAAGGAAGGGGTTAAAAAAGTGGAATCTTTGTGACTGTAAAGGGCTGAATTATCTTCCTGACACCAGCAGGGGTTGCTGTCACTAGTTTGTGGTTGTCACATTCCTGTTGTGCTTGACCTTGGAAAGGCTTGACAACATAGTCTGGATTTGATTAAGGGAATTTCATGTTTTTCCTTTGCTAGAGTCACCCCCCCACCTCGACGAACATTTAAAAATGTTAAGGAGTAAAAAAAAAAAAAGTTTGGAAAGCAAACATTTTCCCAAAAGAAATTTATAGTTCAAATTTACACCAAGTTCACACTAACTGGAGCAGTCCGGGTTTCCAGTCAGGCTTTGAGAGCTCTCTGTAAACCATTAGTCACTTCCCTGGAAGAGGCAGCTTTTTATAGGCAGCAGGATAAAACAGACACAGATGTGTAAGTAATATTAGAGGCTTTCACATGTACCTGCCTTTTTTTTCTCAGTCATACAAAAGAAAAAAAGAGTGATTATAGAAAGAAATTCATTGAAGCTTGGACTTGAACAGCTACTACAGAGATAAGTTTAATGAAAATAAAATATCTTGTGTTGTGGGTTTTTTCTGATTGTGACAATTTATATAATGAAGATGGAAGTTATTTTAATTTTTTCACATTGGGTTCTTTGCATTCCACAGGACCGTGATTATGCCAGCTGCCAATGAGTTTGATCCTGAAATTGTCCTGGTGTCGGCCGGATTTGATGCTGTAGAAGGCCATGACCCTCCGCTGGGCGGGTACAAAGTCACAGCTAAATGTAGGTATTGCCATTGGCACGTGTTCCTGAGTTGGTATTTATATTCCTAGTCAGGAATATAAATCCAGTTCACATCTATGTTTCTGTTTTGTGAGATGACAGCTGTGTCACTGAGGGCAGGGACTGTCCAGCAGTTAATACCCAAGATGCCTGGAGAACTGCAGTGCTTGCCCAACTCATGGATAGGATGGAAGCAAACATGTTAGAGTTCCTGGCTCACTCCTTTATGTTCCTCTTGGCATTTTTGTCTTGACTTTCTAAAGTATTACTTTCTGGCATTCAAATAACATTTTAGAGGTTTCATGCTTTTCAATAGGCCCCAATTTCCAAATGCTGGAGTAAGTTACTTCTCTTTAAATATATATTGGAGATTTTAGACTTTGGATGCCTAAATCCAATCTCATATTGCTCTTTTGTTATTGCAATCTTTTCAGCTCCATGGCATTAATCCTGAATTACATCAGTGTTTATGAAGGCCAAATTTTTCTAAAATATTACTCTTCTGGGTCTCAATATTTGTATGTCCATTTCAGTCTTTCAAAATGTGTGCTTATGGCAGAGATTTAATACTTTCTGAAAGACAGGTCTGCCTGACACATCTCATTTGTAGCACTCCAAAATCCTTAGGTCTTACCAGACATTGTGGCCAAACTGATTCTGAGCCTGGGATGTTAAGCAAGGCTGGGTGATGTAGTAACTCTCTCTACAGAATGTGCATTGTAACATTGCTTTATATCAATTGCTTTACATGGGACAACACAAAATGGCTTCCTAATGCAATGCTGTGCATAATTTTCCTCAGTATATCTACTTTTATTCCATGTATTCAGTCTATAATATCACTTCAACCACTATTAAATGTGGACCTCTGCTGCTAATGGTAAATGCCTTGGGAAAAGTCTGGAGAAGTCAATGAGACTTAATGGCATTTAAAACACTGCAGAAATGGACTCCAGTTCAGAGGATTTTGTCCTTCTAACTTCTGCCTTTTGTTACAGATCAATAGACCAAAGCTGTTGTTTACCTCAGGAGGTTCAGGGCAGACATGCGTTTTTTTATTTTAATTTTCACTGCATGCTAAACAGGCTCCCCTGAATACCAATGAAAGTGATGGAGGAACAGAGTGAGTGTCCATAGGGGTGTGCTGTGGAAAGGGAGAATGCAGAGAGCAGTGCAGGGGTCTACCCAAAGATGCTTACACAGGTGCTAATGCACAAATGGGCTGGAAATGGAATATCCCTCTGGCTGCAAGTTAGACATATTGAGTTTTAGCACAGCTTTTCAGCTTAATGCAGTGGCTACACTGGAGAGGAAAGAAACATAGCAGGCAGTGTGCATGTTTGAGTATCATTTCCCTGTGTATTATGATTTTTAGTAAAACATTTTGCAGGAAGAGGTGAGTGATTTACTCGCTGTTTTTTTCCATGTGTGGTTCCTGGTCAGCAGCACCATCCCATGAGCTTGTGTGGCAGGGAGGTGAACTTTCAGCTGGTACTAAATTAGATATTTTGTTGAACCATTGCATAACTATCTGTATTTAGCTGCTGAGAAGGTATTCTGTGTGTCCCTTAAGGATGCAAGATGCTTTGGCATATATAATATTTTGGCATAGCAACTTCAACAATTTAACTAGAAATTGCAGCAAAGGAAAACTGACATTAGAATTAGTGTTAATTTTCATTCATTAATTAATTAGCTCTTCATAACTTTTTAAAATAAATCTTAATACATTTTCTAATATAAGAGGCTGCACACTACTTCTGCATATTTGGCTGTAAGCAAAAAAAAAAGGTGATTTTTTGCTTACAGACAAAAAAAAAAAAAGCCAGTGTAGGTGGCTCTTTTTTAAATTACGAGAAAAGCTGGGATAGAGTCAGATAATGATCATGCACCTGAGGGATGAATAAAGCCATTTTTGCAGAGCAAAGGAATTTATTATTTCCTCAAAACAAAATTCTCCACATTCCACCATTCTATTTTAGAACATAACATACTGTATGTGGAATGTAGGAAAATGAACATTCTATTAAGAAAAAAAAAGGTCCAAAGGGAAACTTTCATATTGAACATTAAAATAGATATTTGTGCAAAATTTTAATATAATTGGTATGCAATAATTAGGAATTGTTTGCCAAGAAGTAAAGCTGAACCTGTAAATATTCTTTCTTTATAAATCTTTAGTATTTTGTGTACACGTAATACGTTTAATTTTCTGATTTCTATGATTTAATACAAGCTTTACAAATTAGATAAAGACTGAGGTTAAAGGAGAGAAGATATATCCTTAGCTACTAACCTTGCTCTTAAAGAGCATTTAGAAGCCACTAGATACTTGGTAATGAATTTTTTATGTCTTTCCCTCAGAGTACAATCTAAGAGAAAAATTTAAAATTTATTAACCAATCATTCAACCTACGTTATAAAGTAAAAATCATTGGATGAAGATAGTAGATTGAACTAATTGGAGTAACCATAGAGCAGGCAATTACCTTCAACAAAAAATGGTCTGGTAATCTGCACAGTTTGAGAAATGTAAACTGTAATCTGCTTTAACTCAGAATTTAAATTTTTTTCTATATTATCATACAATCTTATTTACTGAGGAGTTGCCATTTCTTATTAGTAAAGAAACATGTCAGCAACAAAATAATCATATATATATATATATATATATATATATACGAAGCTGATTTTAAATCTGTGAGTCTGTTGTGCAGTAAGGATTTCTCACAGTGAGGTGACTCAACTCCTCTAGAAGGCTGTAGAGTGGAATTTGGCCAACTGAGATCAGTGATGATGGCAGAACTTGGAGATATCTCACTTCCTAATTTATCTCTAGTTGTATTAAGGAATGAAATCACTAATGGTCTTTTTCCCATTAAAAAAAAAAAAGAAAAAGATAGTGTTTAAAAAAAGATTGGAAGGGAAGAAGTTTGAATCTTTCCTATCTTATTGCACTTTTCAGATCACTTTCCCTATTTTTACAAAGTGGCTTTGCAATTCCTCCTCATCTGTTGATTAGTTTTCACTAAACTAAGCAAAATTTAACTAAGTTTTACCTGTCTGTGAAACAGATTTGTTTGGTGCAATGTAGAATTGAAAATGAACATTAAGTAAAACATTTGTTTCAACCCCAACTTTGAGGATTTCATAGGCACATTTTTCTTTATGTTAGCTCTTTGTGCCAATCCTCTCTCTTAATGATGTGCTATGATTTCAAAAGGTGCTTGTATACACCTACATACACATACACATCTTGAAATTTATACTCAACCCATGTGCATAAACTTTGTGATGGATTTTATATTATTTTAAGAACAAAAAGGGCTTCAAAGATTTGATATGACTCGTGGCATATGGCAGAACTTGTTGCTGCTGGGAAGTTCTCAGTCCTTTGGTACAAGCTACATTCCTAATATCTTAGTAAGGAAAGGCAAGCTTTATTGACAAGCCTGATGAAAGGCCACCTAGCCTAATTAGAAACAGGTATACTTTTGAATTCACAATCGCTTTGCCCTGAAGAAGGTCTTCCCCCCTCAAAAGGGTTTGTGTCAGAAAAGGACTTTGTTTTCCAAATAAAAACTTTCTGTCTGCTAAAAATATTATCTTTACTCACGGACACTGCCTTGCCTGTGGCATTATGCTATGGGAACTGCACCAAGTTTAACATCAAAAAGCAAAGAGAAGAAAGTGAGGCAATTACCATGTTAAATTTCACTGTTAATCCTCTTGGCCCAGGGTCTTGCATCAGTTAAAGGTGCCAACTCTTGCTCAGGAGCTTCTTTAATATCTGCTATGTTCTGTCAGGAATATTCAGGCAACTTATCTTAGATTTTGCTTTCTGTGCCCCTTCTGTAGCGACTCAAGTTTAACTTCATTAGCTGAAATAGAGGAATACCTTTTGCAGTGTCAAGTCTATCTTCAGTACTAGCATGGCTCTGTCCCTGTTGCTTGGCTAAGTGGTTCCCCGAGATGTAAGGTGAATGTGGGTGCAGCAGCTGGAACTCTCATACACATCTCTTATGCAGAGTAACTATTGATGTGTTTGGGATCTCTTTGTTTAGATCAGAGACTGTAAAAGTGCTTTGTTTTCATTATAAAATGTAATCAGGTGAGAGGAAAACATGTCTCAGTTCCTGACTAGTCCAATGGTTTCTTTTTATTATTAGCAATTTTTTTCAATAAGATAACACAAAATATCAGCACCATGTAACACGTATTATCAAAACATATTTCTATCAAATTCACTTTTTGTACTGGAGTAATAAAAGTTCTATTGACAATAAAATATAAGAAAAATAATGGTAGAAGAAGTAAAGGGAATTTTATATTTAGAATAGTAAGGATATGCTTAAAGAGTATGACTCTACTCTTTTCTGTTATCCTGATGATCCTTAGATAGAACTACTGGAAATAGAATTGGTACATTTTGTGCTTTATTTTACTGTTAATTTTTGCATTGTCTGCTGAAATATATAGTAATATCACACAATTTCAATTTTGTGTAGTGAGCAAGTCTGAAGAAGATCTGTCAGATCTGATCATAAATTTGCAAGTTGTTAGATCTAGTAAGGGAACTATTTTTAAATTTAGCTCTGCTGGCTGAAGATGTCCATGTAACATTATCCTGAGGTGAAGTACTTTCTCTTTGTTTTATAGAACAGCCCTTAGAATAATGCTTGCTAAAGCCACTAAGATCACTTTACTGTTCAAGTAAATATTCTACATAATTGCTCATTAAATCGTGACCATTCCATAAAAAGAATAAATAGAGAAGTGTCAAGAAAGCATTAAGACCTTTTTCAAGGTACTTAACTTCCTGAAGCACTACATTTGTTAAGAGCTATGATGATTTACTAGAGTTTTCCTGTTGTTTTACTCTCCTGTTCCAGAGATGCTATTTGACACCAGAGTGCAAAATAGAATCAGCAATTAGCAGTAGGAAAGGATACCACTGTGGGCATTTAAAGAGTAAATGATATTTTGTCTGTTGGAATATT